ATGGCATACGTCTGTTGTAGTCTGGTGACGCTTGTAATTTTTGTATGGGACTTTTGAGAGGTTCAGTAGTTGTCATTTTAGGGGCTGTCACTGCTTTGTATAGGGCATTATTTCAGAGAAATAGTGTGGTATTTTTGGAAAGACAGACTCACTACAACATAAGAAGATGAAGCTGAACAGAAGGAGGGAGATGCTGGCAAGAAAAATACCCTTGCTAGCAGCATAACCTGAACATGTTATATTTAGTGATAACTGTGGGAAGATACTGCTATTTAGCACAAAAGATAGTAGCACCATAAGTGACCAGCCTACCACAAACAACAACACTGCAAACAAAAATTAACCCTTTAAAGCCTAAACAAAAACAAATTTGTTTAAAAAAAAATAACATTTTAATTTCCATATATGATTTTTATTTTGTATTGTATTTGATACATCTGGCTTTTTTTTTTTCTTGTTGTGTAACTTCCTTAGATTTTTCACGGGGAAAAAAGTCACACTGATGATTTTGAAGTCACAAAAAACTCACAAGAAACTGTATGTATCAAATATGATCCACTAGGTCAGCGGTCCCCAACCCCCAGGCCTCGGACCGGTACCGGTCCGTGAGTCGTTTGGTATCGGGTCGCGAGAGTTGAGGCTCAGGTCTGAAATGTATGGTTTTCAGGGTTTTTATCGGTTTTCAGCATTATTTTGTTATTGTTTTTATCGTTAACTCGGTTTTCCTGAGTCTTTTCACGTGTGTTATGAATAAATCTTTTATTTTTCAGTAGCGCTACTAGGTTTATTTTGTTGTATTTATCCGCGACACCTTAAAGGCCGGTCCGTGAAAATATTGTCAGGCATAAACCGGTCCGTGGCGCCAAAAAAGGTTGGGGACCGCTGCACTAGGTGATTTAATATTTTTTTTATTTGTCATTCTCAATATGAGAATTTGATTTTCTTATTTAACACTATGCCAGAGGACTTTATTCCAAAAAACTCCAAGTATGCAATTCAAATTCTGTATTAAATTTACACAATAACCTACACAATAGCCTGACTTGGCCCAACCTAGAAATGTAACTGCATATCACCATCACCACAACCCACACAGGTATAAATACTGGTAGTAGGGTTGGCCACTTGCATAGGCTGCATTATAGGCTCTGCATAGATTCATTCCAGAAGTATAAATTAACCATAAGATGTCCATATTTACCTTGACACCAGGGGTTAAACAATATGTAGATGTCATTGGCAGGGTCATGTGTGGAACTTGCCGATCCATTTTGATTATTTGTTTCAACTGTGAGTTGATATCGGCCAATGACAGCGGTGGTTGGAGAATTCACCAACAGTTTTATCTTTTTGACCTCCTGTTTCACAACAGCAGCCTCCCAGCGATCACCCTCCAGCTTCGCCACCAGTGGGATGATTACATGAGTTCCCTTTGCCACTACTGCCAATGGACCTTAGTAGGTGAAAAAGAAAAGAAAAAAAAGTGTTACTGGCTGTTATTCATAACATGCCCAAACAGTTACTGTGCTTTTTTTTAAAGAACCACTTCCCTCAATTAAAACCACACCTGTGTTCCCAGAGTATGTTTGAACAACAGAAACTAAAAAGAAGGAAAACAGAAAGCTCCGTCCTGACAAGCTGTCTACACACACACACACACACACACACACACACACACACACACACACACACACCTTGTGTGACAGCATTTGATCTCAGTGCAGCTGTACTATAAAAGTCTCCATGTTTTCAGCTTCACTGTTACTGCACTATCTTAACGTTTGAAGTTAGTGTGGCCTCATCATTATCAAAAGAAAGCTTGATCTTCAAAGACAACAAAAAAACAATGTTTTCTGTAATATATAAGCTCACAATTTCCCACAGTGCAAACAGCTGAAATGTTCAATTTGTTGCCACATTAAGGAACTCTCCTTCTAAAGTGATTGTGGAAAATAACAGCTTTCCATGGCTATCACTCTCTACCCTCAGTGGGTGTGACCTTGCCTTGACTGTGTTTTCAAATGCCTTAAGAGAACTGATTTGCTTTTCTCCAGTTTCACCCTGAGATGTTTATCTGATTCAGTCATGGACAAACAGGCCACTGATCGTGTGCGACAAAAGGATTCGAAAGCGGCTCGCAAAGACATGAGGAAAATGAATGAAACGACCATTGTTAAGAAAAAAGTAGTTGCCTCTGCATTATAGTGACCAAGAGGGAGGGAAAAAACAGACAGGAGATGCCAGGACAGCATAGTGACTTACTGGCTGATGGGAAAGCAGCAGCTGTGCACCACTAGCCACGAGTGATAAAGATAGCAAGTTCATTAACATGGACAAAGACTACACCTTCACATAACCACTGAGGGACTCTAACCCAGTGACAGCTACTCAAGACTCTAACTCTGGTTCAGGGAAGACTTTATGATTTTCTTTTATAAAAACAAAAGAGAGCAAGAGAGAAACAGAGGGAGAGAAACACAACTGTCTCAGGCGCACAGCTCTGAGTGTGAACACATAAGCCCCTCCCACCTGCTGTCTAAACCTTCTGTTTTCATGAGGCTGCCAATCAGAAGAAAATTGACTTAAAGGGATGTTACCGGGAAAGGAGAAAAGTTAATACAGCTTTTTTTGTTGTTGTTTTTTCCCAAACAGTGGATGAAATGTTGGGGTTCAACATAACTCATGATGAGATAAATTAGGATATTTTAAACTAAGAATCAAGAAAGAGTTACTAAGGCCTCTGTAGCTGAGTCCAAGAATGAAAAAATATCCTTGGAAAGGAGCAAGACTCCTTTATAATTCGACAAGCTTGTTAAATCTAACAGATAAATATGCATGATAAGTGCTGTAGATATTCAAGGAGACCAGTTGATGAAGCCTTCCGCTTTCGGTGACTATTGCTCAATAATTGGGACATAAATTATACCAGTGCACAAAAGAACTGTAATTAGCAGATGGCCATGACATTTTAAGACACTTCTGGGTACAAATGAGCAAAAACCAAAAAGTCTGATGATTATTGTTAAAGAGTTTACTCCTAATTGATGAGTAACTGCCACAACTTGACATTCTTACACTCTTGTTTTGTATCTTCAGTTTATGGTTTCCTGCTGCGCACGGCCTGCATTTCTGCAAAGCAACAGTAAACAGCTGCTGGCTAAAGATTCTAAAGACAACTATTCCAAGAAATATTGAGATTTGATAGTTCCAGGGTGTATTAACCCTTTTGTTTTATAGAGTTTACTGCCAGGCCTTTTCTTTGCCTTACAGGGGGAAAACTGTCAACGTGCAGTTCACTGTGCCTAACACTTTCGTTTTGTCAGGTGTGACGAAAATCACCTCCTTAAAATTTTTTGCAGGGCTTCCGAACCAAAAGGTCAGAGCATCTGTCAACTGTCACTCTCTTTCGCCTAAAAAAATCCTCAACTATTTAAAACAGTGTGTCGTTTTAGGCTGTGCTGTGATTAGCTTTTGTGCTGTGTGTCTGATGTGTCTCAGAGTACAGTCTTTAGACTGAATATAGGGTACTGTAAGCATGCCTGAAAACAGTGAGCCGGGGGCAATTTAGTTCGTAATGCAGTGCCATTCTGGAGAAGGGTGTTATGGTTTTCAAAAGCATAAAAACTGGCATTGTCTGCTGCTTTTGTTCTCCTGCTTATTGCTGGTATTACAGATGGCTTTTTAAATTAGTGTTCACGTTGAATGTCGCTGTTGTTTTTGTCTCAAATTATGGATAAAATAGGTTAGAACTATATTTTTTTCCCTCTAAATGCAAAATCTAGAATTTAAAATGTATACATTATTATTCTGTCACTTTACCAAAACAAAACCTTTCATTAAACAGTGCATTATAGAGCCCACCTTTTCTGTAGCAGCAGCACTGTAATTATTCTACTTAAGTGTCCCTAAATTGCTATCACACACAGCTGTAATTGTAAGATCTATATTGGTTTTCCCTGTTTGACAGCATTCAATTCTCACAAGCAGTGTACAGAGACAGGCATGCACACTGGGTAAACAGGTGGCGTCCGAGGCTCATACAGCTGGCAGTGGCAGCAGTGATAGTGAATTCTCAGTAGAAGGGAGCTCTAGTATCACCAGGACTGAAGACTGCATCTGTAAAACACTCTCCCAAGACCATAGCAACCCAAACTGTTACCATAGCAATCTGAACTAAAAAATCCCCTTCTCTCATCCACAGCCTTCCCATATATCTATAAGTATCTATTTCACACATCTATGCAGCCTCAACACACAATCAGCAAAAAAACACAGTACAAGATGTGAGCATAAAAGAAAAAAAATGTCCTTTTTTTGTAAATTAGAGAGCTTCTGCTCTCCGGAGAGCCATTTATAATGAATGAATGGGCCCTATAAGACCTGCAGTCCAAAAACTTTGATGCAATCCCCAGCGATTCTTGAAATTGGCCCTAAAAACGAGTCAGCATGTATGCATTCCCATGCTAAAATGCCCAATTTCAGCTGTGAGAACAAGTTTGGAGCCTGTAATTTTAAAAGAAACAAACAACTATTATGGTTTCTAGGGCTAACTTAACTTTACAAAGCTGTCCAGTGGATTTTTTCATTTAAATACCGTGCCTTGACTTCAGATAACACAGGAAGCTGTTGCTGATAGTGATCTCCTATTTTACTGTAATTATTTGAGAAGTAATATCATGTGGTTTATGGATGCATCTTGGTGCTTAACTACTGCAGAAAAGAAATACTTCCCTGACCAGGAGAATAAGAAAACAAAACTGCATTTCATTGAGTTTCATTTCAGTTCAGGAATATAATCACTACTGTAACTACAAACAATTAAAAATGGGGCTGCTTTGTCTGGAAGTGCATGTAAAAAAAAAAAGAAAAAGAAAAAGCAATTTAGCTCCAATCATTCCTATTCACAGAAGACTATATTAGAACAGGCTCCCCACTATATGCACTGTATCATGTGCTGCTCTGCACAAGATTTCAGGAAAACATGTGAGTATGCTGTGACCAGTTTGGATGCTTCCCATCCAGTTTCATACACTGGCTCTAAATATTTCAGGCTAGTCTTGGATGAAATTCAGTCAAATTGAAAATTTTTGTTGCCCCCAAAAACAAAACAAAACAATAACATGTATTACTTTTATAAAAGTCTCCATTCACTTCTCACAAACCTGTTTTAAGGTCGAGATGAAGCTCATCGGAGGAGGGGTTGAAAGGTCGAGATAAGGTTATCCACATCTCGAAACTCTGCCCCCTGCGGATGATTAAATTATCACTTTGGTAGAGATGAGTGTGATGCTCTGTGCGATTCGCCCCTGATTTGCTTTTCAGGAGGTCTATTGACTTCACTTTGAGAAGGACTTCTGAAGAAAAGAAAAGAAAAAACATAGGACATGTTGAAGTATTTCATATTGTTAGCATTTCTTCCCCTTTTGGGGGGGGGGTTAAAAAGTGGCTATATGGAGTCTCTCTAATCACCGTCAATCTCTTTGTCATCAGGCACAGGTCTCTCGCCGTTTCCCCCGTCCTCCTTACCCAGCCCATCAACCAGCGTGACCTCAGTGTCTATGACATCATCATGCTTGGGACAGCAGCATGGGCAGACCTTACGCAGCCACTCCTTGCATGCATTTCCTTTTTTAACATTGTTTTCCTTTGGCTCTTCTTTTTCTTCCTCTGTGTCCTCCCCAAATCCAAAAGTGACAGATGGAAAGCGACCTACTGCAGATCTGCCTCTTGCTGATCGCCTCTCTGCAGGCATTCTGGAGAAAAAAAAATTATAAAGAACAACAATTAGATAATCAGTGACTTTGGTATTAATAATAGTTAACATCCCAGCCTTTACAAATGCTTCTATGCATATATTTCTTTTCACAACTGTTCATAAAATGGTCATAAATAATTAAGGTACCACAGTAAGCGATCTGAAAGGTAATCCATTGTCCAGTTACTGTGAACAAAGACAAGAAGGGTCTTTTCATCAGCTAAGTTCAGCAGTATTTTTAATCCATCAAAGCTTCAGTATCTTATGATCTAAGCTCACAGGCTCATTACTGATGTCTTCTATGCATCATGTCTTTGCTTCAGTGTGAAAAATTGCTGATTTAAGTCCTTTGATTTAAAACCAGAACATAATCTCGCAGTGAAACTCTACCCTAACATATTATTTCCCAGAGTGCAACATATGGGGGGGGGGAAGAAGAAAAATCAGATTGAAAATACATTAAAATGTAGAAGTATGGTAACCTCAAGAAAGTATTATAAATATTACATATTATTCATATTAAACTGCAACCATTTCCTCTGTTTGTAAACAACATGAAAACATCAATGATCTATCTTGCCTTGAAACAACAATTCATGCTGTTGGTAATAATGTCATAGTGTGCGGGATATTTTCTTAACACACTTCAGGCCCCCTTAATACTGACTGAACATTTTTTAAATGCCAGAGTCTACCTGAGCACATTGCTGACCACGATTGCCTCTTTATGACTCAAATTGGACAGTGATTGGACTCATCTCCGACGGGGATGAGTCTGCCTACAGGAGGAAGGTTGAACGTCTGGTGTCCTGGTGCAGCCACAGCAACCTGGTGCTGAATGCCCAGAAGACAGTGGAGATTATTGTGGACTTCAGGAAGCACACAGCCCACTCCACCCCCATCATCCTGACTGACACCCTCATCACCACTGTGGACTCATTCCACTTCCACCATCACCCAGGATCTCAAGTGGGAGCCCACCATCACCTCCATCATGAAGAAGTCCCAGCAGAGGATGTACTTCCTGAGGCAGCTGAAGAAATTCAACCTGCCAACACGGACGATGATGCAATTCTACACTGCAATCATCGAGTCCATCCTCACCTCCTCCATCACCGTGTGGTATGCTGGAGCCACTATCAGGGACAAACAGAGACTGCAGCGTGTTGTGCGCTCTGCTGAGAAGGTGATTGGCTGCAGACTCCCATCTCTGCAGGACCTTTACACCTCCAGGACACTGGAGTGTGCGGCTCGGATCACAGCTGACCCTTCTCACCCTGGACACAGTCTGTTTGACCTGCTCCCCTCAGGCAGGAGGCTCCGGTCCATTCGGACCAAAACCTCTCGCCATAAGAACAGTTTCTTCCCCCCTGCTGTTGGACTCATGAACAATAACCATATGACTGTTCACACCACAAACACATGACCCTATACTGTGTTCTCTGCATCTCTTCAATTTTGCACTGATCATCACTTATGTTTATTTAAGTGTTGTCTTACAGTATGTTTTGCACTAAGTACCGCAGCAATTTCCTAATGTTGTAAACCTGCTCAACATTTGGCAATAAAACCCTTTCTGATTCTGAAATGGAGCACCTTGAAAATGTGGTGGAATGGGAGCTTTTAATCACATCCACAAATTTGTAGGAGCAAACGATGCTTTAATATAAGGAATATTTGTTCCTTCATTTATGAATCATTGATTTGTTTCCAAGGAGAAACTCAAACGTGTGTTTTGATAATATTATACAGCCTAGTCTGTCTCTAAATCTTTAAACTACCTTGTTCAACTTAGTACTGTATGCATAAAGAATGATTCCCCCCCGGCAAGACTCAGGAGGGGTGTTTTGACTCTGCAGTAGGCTACCCTCAGGAGACTTCTGTAGCTGATCCTCTGAAGCTGAGTCTGTGAAAGCATTTGTGTGGTCCTCTGGGGGAGCTGAGCACATGTTCTTATCCACAGCTGTGCAATGACAAAGAATTTTGTCACTGCACATTTCAAAGAACACAATCGTTTGTCACCTCTTAAGGAGAAACATTACACACAGGGTACATTTCTCAGGTGAACTACAATCATCACAACCATTTCTCTCCTTCTCTTCTCTCTGTGCTTTGCTCACTTCACTCTGATTTGTCTTGCACATTTTTCTTCCTTCAAAGAAATACTATAAACCTTCTAAAAGCCTTTCACACCCACACTTTACATTCCTCGACATCAGCGACTGTTTCATTTTCACCAAATAGGTTCAAACAATAATAAGACTGACAATGAGTTCGGTTCTTATTCATATGTCGAGAATCTGAGGGGTTAAAATAAATTGCAAGCAGCCTCAGCACTGGTGACGAAACACCTCCACCCAGGTAGGAACTGTGTGTCATATTTATTGCTGGCAGACAGCCAACTAAAAGCTGCTTAACAAAACAATGTAGAAACAAAGACACACATGTATCTACACACACAGAAACTGATTTATTGCCTAGCAACAAAACACTTTTTAAAAATATATGTATGTATATATATATTGTACTCCACACAGCTACATTTATTAAAGATACAGTGGGTTTTTTCCCCCCTTTTTCTACAGTCAATACGGCAAATCAATTTGTTCAATCAAGGTTCAAGAGAAGTAACCAGAATACCTACAATGTTGTGCCATTACAGTTTTAGCAGACTTGTATTCTACTGATATTTTCTCTGTTTAAAGAGTTTCATTTGACACAAACAATGTAAAGCTTCAGCTGTTGAACTAATTTTCTAACTATTGACACATTTACAAAGTTATAAAGTTATCTAAAAATAAGCATGCAAATAACCTAAAATAACTGCAGAAAATCCTCCTGCACTGAATAGCAGGAGCTAATGTAAATGTCAATAGCTTTGCAAAATCTATATTCTAGATGACAGCACTTAGTAATTACTCTCGCTCTATAATAGCTGGAATAGATTACAGCCTGCCCACGACCCTGATAAGGATAAGCAGAAGAGAATGGATGGGTGAATGGATGAATGTACTCATTGTCTATACTTTCCTTTCTTTTAGAAAACAACACATATTCTCAAAACTAGAAATTTAAGGATAATAACAAAGACACCTTTGATAAAGAGCCCAGAAACCTTTTATGAACTTCATATCCAGATTTTTATGATGAACTAGACTATTGTTCTGCAAAATTTAGTTAATCACGCACAACAACATATAAGATATGCTTAATTTGTTTTTTGGAAATAAATCCATTTGGATGTTTATCTGGTCAGAGGGCAGTAGCCCAGCCAAACTCATTCAACCTCACCACCACACCAATGTCCAGTTTAGAATCACCACTTAACTGAACATTCACATCTGTGAACTTACCAAAAGAAAGAATGCACGTGCACAGAGGCTTGAACCTTGAATGTTACTGGGGTAACAGTGCTAATCAGCACACTTTCATTGTTTGTTGATTTAGTATAGTGAAAAATCCCATGCCAGCAGAATGGCTAAAACGTTAAATAAAGCTGTTTTTCACCCTCCACTTGACACTTAATAAATTACATCTGTATAGTACTATAGGTTTAGGAGACACACAGAATATTTATACAATGATAGTCAAATGTCAGATTCTTAGTTTACCCTCATGACTTTAGCAGTTGATGTAAAATACCCGAGTGTTATTCATTAAAGCAGGGTATTTTCCTTCAGGAGGGTGCTGAGCAGTAAGCATCCACAGCTGCACTCGTGACCTCTTTGACCACAGGACCGTTTGTTTTGAAACACAAGGAGAAGTTCTGATATCTATTTCGCATTACAATTAAACTGACAGGAAATGATCGCTGTATTTATTGAACTGTTTTGCGTAATTTGGCAAATCTAATAGCTATTAAGGTGCTACTGTGAATCATATCTAATATGTACAGCATACAGATATTTTTTGAGGAATTCCCTGTGAAGAAAAATACATTAATGTAAAAAATAGACTGACAGCAAGAGCTAATCTCACAGGAAATAGAAATGTCAATGAACCTTTTCATTATTTTTTCATTAATACATAATCCTGACATGACAACTGAGGTAGCAATACATAACTGCGTTAGAGCCATACTCCTTTTCCCTATTAATGAATTACTTGGTTGAAAAAACTAATGTTTAGAAGAACAATTGAATGAATGTGAGCTAAATACAGTAAACATTGTTAGGAACACAAAGTGTAAATCTGTCTGAGCTACATAGCAAGTATAGAGTTCAAACTCACTCAGTTCAGTTTGAGAAGAAATGCAGTCTGTAGGGAGAAATCTTGTCTTCGATGTGCCTTTCTCTTTCTTAAACAAGCTCCAACTTCGGAGCTGCTTTAAATACTTGGCTAAGACTCAGGGGACACGCCTTTCTGTTGCACATGGAGCAGTCGGGCCAGATATTTCTCCAGACGCTGAAGCAACAACAGAAATTATTTAGGCATGGCACCAAGCAGCCTTTTAAATATTATGAGAGAAAATAAATTTTTCTTGTCACTCTTGGTATGAACTATATCGGATTAGTTATGCAAAAACTGACACTGTCTCCTGTTTCAAAGATTTTATTTAGTAACAAATTTTCACCTGTGCCTCTCCCACTTTCACACAAAACAGGTTTAATCCTCGGTAAGACAGTGAGAACACACCTCCCTGCTGCGCTCGCATCAGTCATGTCAAATGTTTAACCAGTAGCCAACGTCAGAGCAGGTGAAATCAAACATCCACTTAAATATTTTTCCACTATTGGAAAATATGACAGTTTGAGAAACTGGGCTAGTTTCTTGTTCTCTTCAGTATTTTTCATCTTAATTATGTTAAAAAAGTTCATTGTTTTTTAACATATGGAAAATGAATAATTAAATATTTATATGATAATAATCCATATATAATAATAATGTGGTTAACACTTTTGCCTCACAGCAAAAAGGTCCTGGGTTCAAATCCACCATCAGTTCAGGGTGAAGTTCACATGTCCTCCTTGTGTTCTCCAGTCCAATGACATGCAGTTAGTGGGCTTAGATTAATTGGTGATCCTAAATTGCCAACAAGTTTGAATGGTTCTCTGTGTTGTTGACCCTGCAACAGCCCTCTTGCTCTCTGGCAGCTGGCACCCTCGTGACCATGAATTGGATAAGAGGAGAAAACTGGACGAATGTTTTTGGACTTTTTGTTTGTTTTGGACAGTTAAAGTTGCAAACTCTGTACCCCGTTATATTTAACGTGATTAGCTGTTCCAGTAAAGTAAAGAATTCTTTATATAAAGATGAATGCACAATAAAAAAGATGGCATTTTCTGCTTTGACACATGACAAAAACCCATCCTTCAGCAAAGTGGCATGATCTGAAAACCTTTGACCTACCTGATGGCACATGTGGGATGCCTGCTTCTAGGAATATATGAACCGGAAGGGAGTGGATGCCCACTCACTTTTATGCAACAGACATGACCGCTGACTGGTTGAGTAGGTTTTCACTGATTGATAGGTAAATGAATGCTGAATAAAGCCTAATCCTATTAAGAGAGCAATTAATGAAGCGTAAAACCCCAATGAAAGTCATATAACAATATTCCTCCTGATACCACTGGATACAAGAATTCAATAAACAGAGAAGACTTCACTATACATAGTCTGGAAAATGTTACTGACTGTGGTTCAGATGCTTACAGGGTCCAGTAAACAAAGCACTGGTAATTTAGTCCCCTCCACATCCCAAGATGACCTTGGGTAAGATGGTGGACCCCCTGAAAGCTCTGCAGCCATTACTGCTTTGTGACAGTGTGTGGGCGTAAAAGGTTGAATGAGAAACACACTCTAAAGCACTTTGGACTGTTAAGCTTTGAAGGTCCTTTAAGCTTTAAAGGCATTTAGCATAGCATTACAGGCAAAGCAGAAACTTCTTTGCCGTGCTAAAGTAGATCTTGAGATGATCAGTCGATGAAATTTTTCAAGAGGCTCCCAAAACTTTCCTTTCAGGAGTTTACATTGGGGCGGGGGGTTATTCATTGATTTCCAACTTTTCATGTTGCTCAGCAGATTAATAAGAAGAAGACTGACATATGATGTGATGATTATTATCTTGATTAGCTTTAAGGCACGGAAAAATGCTCATGTTAACATCTTGTGACATCATTGTATGACTGCAGAATTGTTTACATGAAGATGAAAACATAACACAGTGTCCTTTAACCCTTACATAGTGTTCATATTTGATGCCTGCATATGGTCCAGGTCAATTTTGACCCAGGATGAGAATTTGCTCATAAACTTTCAACTGCAGATCTATTTGAACCATATGCATAACCTATGTGACATTAATAAATGGATGATTAATCCTTAATTAATGTTTCAAAGACCAGGGAGAGTGTTTTTCTTCATTTTTATTATTATTATTTTATTTATTTTATTTCATTTTTTGATACCCCATCAGTCAGTTTTAGCAAGCAGACTCGTGGTCTGAATGCTTAGTTATGAATTTCAATTCACTTCTGCCTCTAAGTTGTAATTTTCAGAACACCTTCACCACTTCACTACAGTCAGGTAACATTAGATATTTAGGTATAAATCTCTCAGACTGGGTACAGGTAAAATACATTTGTCTTCTTAAAACGGTAGAAGAAGATCTCACATGCTGGAAAACTTTACCTATATTTTTGAAGGTGAAAATGGGATGAGAATTTTGGACCTTCTGGGACTTAGATACATGTACTACCATTACAACGATTAAAGCCTATCCTGGCCACTATCATAAAAAAATTGTTGTAATACTATTTATAAATAATAATATGAAATCAACAGTAATAAACATTAAATTTATATTAAAAACACCAAACAACTAGTCTGTGTATTTAAAGAAATGATAAGAAAACGTGTGCCTCTGTATGAAATCTGTTCCTTATGTGTACCATACATAATGACTCTATGCTGTTTTACTATTTCACTGTTGCCAAGGCCAAGAATTAAAGTCCTCTTTGTCACTCTGTCAGCTCTCTCCTATATAAAATAGACACGATATACAACATGTTCAGTTTCTGAAGATTTTCTGAAACCATAACTGTCTTTGACTTTGCCCAGACCACACTTTCACATTACATACTAATTTGGTAAGGGTCTTGAAACGCCCTCTTGAGGTAACTAGTAGCGGAGGTAAACTAGCAGCACAACCTTGCCCTAAACCTAACTTTAAAAGCCCGTAGCTATTGTTACATGTAACAATTAATGTCAAGTAGGCATAATGTGCAGCTATATACGTATCTTGTCTATACTTCTTAGCCAATTCAGAGACAGCTGTCAGGGGGAAAGAACAGTTGCATTGTAAGTTACAATCACAGCTTGAATGCCTAAAACTCCTTACAGCTTTTGATTTGTTTGTAATATACTGATATGATGAGTGCAGCATAACCTTCAAGAGGTGCCAGGCTGACAGTGACTATGACAAATATTTCTTTGAGTACAAAGGCGTGCCATGTTTCGAATTCACTTTTCTCAGCTTCTTTTATTGTTTTTAGACACTCCCAAAGAAAAGTTTTCACCTAATGCAATTCCGTCTTAAAAATGACATCACAGTCAAACAAACCTGATGTGTTGCAACATCCCAGCTCTTCACTCGAAAAGGCAAACAAATGAACAATGAAGGTGGCATCACTTAAGGGTGGACCGGGTGACACACCGCTAGTCGCTCTGGCACACCTGAGTTTGGAATCATACATAAAAGTAGATACATATTTTTTCAGGCCAGTCATATAAGCCTACTCAAAAAGAAAAAAATGATCAATGGAAGGAGGATAATATCTACTTAATTTTCCTAAAGAGTGCTCAGACCTCCAGTTGGGTGTGACATTTAGGTGCTTCTGGATTTGAAGTTCATCCAAGCATAATACCCATAGACTCTATGTTTAAGTGCCCAGCTTTACATTAGAAAAAATATATTTGCAGCCTAGTAAAACAATT